TAAAATTCAAGAGCCTTACATGGCCCAGAGACTGCTTTGCTTTGGTCCCATGTCACTCCGTGTCCATGCCTTCCTGTTTTTTGTTCTTGCTGTTCCCTCTCTGCCCCTATCCTTTGTCTGACCCGCTTGTGTTCATCCCCCAAGACTTTACCCTACTATGGCCCTCACAAATCAGATTGAAATCATCTGCCCTCTTATCTTGAATTGCCCTTTAGACTGTCAGCTCCTCAAAGACAAGGACTTGATCTTACACATCCCTGTCCTCAGCCCCTAGCACAAGGCCTGCTATGTAATCCACAACTTACAAATGGTTAGTGAATAAACAACTAATTTTTTTTCACAATTAAAATTTCACCCCAGGGATGGCATTACATAAAATTACCAACTGAATTATGGTTGTGGATCTCAAATCTGTGATAACACAGCAGACCAAAGGATGCAATGAATCAAAAGTGAATAGAATGAGCCTGAGCTAACCCTCATGTTGTACGTCATTGAGTCTCCCTGTGGAGGGGCGGGGGATGAAGTAGTCATCCTCCCCAGCACAGATACTATTATGATTAATGAGGCTGGTCTCACAAGAGCTAGTGACTGTAACTCAGGTTAGGTGAAAATAGAGTCATTCAAGAGCTAAGAACGTCAGAACCATGACTCTGGATTTATCCCAAGAGAGCCTCTTGTATCCCAGGCTTGTGAATAGGAGCATGTGAACAGGATGTGAATGCGAGGATGGCTCAGATAAACTTAACTTGACACAATAAGGATGATCTGAACTCTTTTGCAACTGACTGGCTCAAGTGTCAAAGACTTTTTTCTTTAGTGGCATGGTTTTTGGATAAATGGCTGTTAAATTGGTTAATTTAATGATTGCGTCACCCACCCTGACTTCACTCCTGCATATCAGATTCACACATCCAGTTTCCCAATGCACCCACCAACTTGTCTATTCCACACAAATAATTGTGGGATTGAATTCTAAGTCTTTGTCAGACACTAGGGATCCAAAGACAAACCCTGCAGAATTCCTGCTGGCAAAATGCTCACGGCCTAACTGGGGAGAAAGATAGGTACGCAAACAAGGACACAATGCTGTGTGAAGGTGTGTAATTAAAGATTGAAACGAGGTACTAAGAGAGCAAGGAAGAGGAACGACTAGTGCTTGGAGGTCAGGGCAAGGGAGGGTTTTCGAGAGGACAATTCTGAACTGAATCTAAGAGTCTGCTTGGCAGACCAGGTGGGCAGTTTGGGCTGAGGGAGTTGGACAGCTCCAAGGGGCCAGCCCTCCAACTCAGCCCGCACAAAATCCATCAAGTCTTCTTCCCCAGCATAGACCAGACCAGATGTGGTCTCAACAATCAAGAATCAATAACACTCCATGAATCATTTATGGAGCACCTCTGTGTAGAAGGCGCTGTTCCAGACCCTCTAATATAACAGTGAGCGTAGGAGGGGAGGTCCCTGCCTTCCAGGAGCTTTCATTCTAGTGAGGAAACAGATAGGAAACAAGGACCCAAATGAAAGAATTCCAAATATGTGATGAGGAAAGAGAAATGGGGATGATGATGTAGAAAGAGACGGGTAGAAGGGCAGGCCACATTGAATGGGAACATGGCAGGTCAGCTGGGGCCCGAGGCAGAGAGAAGCCAAGGAGACCAGGGAGCCGAGCATGGCAGGCAGGGGCACAGCCAGGGGAAAGGCTCCAGGGTGGGAGGAAGTTGGGTCAGCAGAAGGAACAAGAATAAACCTGGCGACTATGGCCGGGACACCCAAGTGGGGGAAGCAGGATCTCAGAGTTGGAAGAGGCAAGCCTACTGGCTCCTGGCCATGCAAATAGTCAAGCAAAGCAACACTCTGGGGCATCCCCTCTGTGGCCGATATCCAGGAGTCAAGCTCGTCACAGAGGGATTTTGTCCATGTGAGGTGCGGCCCTGACCAACATGCCAGAAAGGCAGACAGAAGGGGCTTGCAAAAGTTGAGCAGGACACCAGGGCCCAGCCATTAGACCAGTTCTCAGGGCAGCACTAGAGTATGAGGACTAGGGAGGAGAAGGTGAGGCAGCTTACTGTGTTCTGAAACTCAGGCCACCCAAGCCCCAGGACTCACTCCCAGGGTCATCAAGCCCTAGGTCCGAACCTGAGTCCTGGAGGCACACAAAGGCTAGACCATCCGACCCTCATAAAAGCTAGATCCAGGCAGACCACTGGATCCCGGGGCTAGCAGAAGGAGCCCCACCAGATAGGGGCAGGCATTGGAGAAAGGGGGATGGTTACTCCCGGGTCTCATCAGTGGAGGCTCAAGAACTGACACGAGAAGAGGGATGTACCTGAGAGGCTGGGAACCATCTCCGCCTGTGAGCTCAATCTGAATTAATGGCAGCAACATCCCCCTCCATCGGTCACCCAAGCTGGAAGGCTGAGTCATCTCCTCTACCTCACCCCCCATCCGTGAGTCACTACAGCCTGCTGCTAACTCCTCTGAACAATCTCTTGAATCTGTGCCCTGCTCCCACTCCCACTGGACCTGCTTTCGTTGAGTCTTCTTTCTCTCTCACGGGGCAGAGAGGAAAAGGCAGAGGTAGAGTCAGACAGCCTGAGTCTGAGCGCTGGCCTCTCTGGTTACTGGGGCATAGTGTGCGGTTAGTTGCTTAACCTCTCTGTACCTTCCTTTCCTCACCTGTGGAATGAGACCAGTTACAAGCTTCATGGGGTTGTTATAAGGATTAGTGGAAGAACTGTGTAAAAAACAAAACAAAAACAAAAACAAAAAAACAACTCTATTAATATAGGTATTTGTAGTCAGGGCAAACTTACATTTCCTTAGGTCTCAAGATAGTGTTGCAAAGAAAAGAAAACAAATCCAACCTCAAAAGTTTTAAATGGTAAGTGCAAGCTTCTGGGGCACCTGGCTGGCATGTGACTCCTGATCTCAGGGCCGTGAGTTCAAGCCCCACATTGGGTGTAGAGCTTCCTTTTATTTTATTTTATTTATTTATTTTTTTTTTTTTGTAGAGCTTCCTTTTAAAAAATGCAAGCTTTGGGGCACTTGGGTGGCTCAGTCGTTAAGCGTCTGCCTTTGGCTCAGGTCATGATCCGAGGGTCCTGGGACCGAGCCCCGCATCAGGCTCCCTGCTTAGCAGGGAATCTGCTATTCCCTCTCCCACTCCCCCTGCTTGTGTTCCCTCTCTTGCTGTGTCTGTCAAATAAATAAATAAAATCTTTCAAAATAATTTAATTAATTAAAAAGGCAAGCTTTTATTGAAGTCTCTTAATATTTGTTGTTTCAGCTAGCCAACTTCTATTCTCCCTTCTGCCGGTGCCCCAATTTTCTTATGGCACCACACCTCCTTCACTCTCAGTTCTTGTCCTATGTCTCTGTCTCCCCTGACACAGGTGACTCAGGCTTGGCCAATCAGAACATCACACTCTTGGGGCGCCTGGGTGGCTCTGTTGAGCATCTGCCTTCAGCTCAGGTCACGATTCCAAGGTCCTGGGATCAAGTCCCACGTCACTGGGCTCCCTACTCAGCGGGAAGCCTGCTTCTCTCTCTGCCCCTCTCCCCCTTGTGCATGCTTTCTCTCATGTGTGCTCTCTCTCTCCCTCTCTCTCTCTCTCTCTCTGATAAGTAAGTAAATAAAATCTTTAAAAAAAATAAATAACATCACACTCTTTGGTCAGTTGTGTGACTAGGGGTGGGCTTGTGACTAAGTTAGAGCCAATTAGACAAAAGGAACGTTTTCTGGGATTAGTGCCCATCATTTCCACCACAGCGATGAGTACTTGGTCCAGACTGTCCAGCTCACATGTACCATCCCTCTGGTCGCAGGGATGAATTCAAAGATGAATGCAAAGCCTAACCTGAGCAAATGAGTGTTTTCTCTGAGAATAATGTCAGGGCAATGGAAGAGAAACGTTCTATATTCACTCAGGGTTGCTAAGCTGGAGAATATGGGCCCTGGGCTATTGTCACCCATCTTACCTGCCTGTAAAACAGACAAGGCAAAGCGATAGAGGAACGTTGCCTGGATGATAGGGTTTGAACCCCCAGATCCAGCTGTGCCTGAAGCTATCCACTCCTGGCTACATTTCCCCGGATATGAGTAAATAGATTCACTTTTTTTTTTTTAAAGATTTTATTTATTTATTTGAGACAGAATGAGAGAGAGAGCACATGAGAGGGGGGAGGGTCAGAGGGAGAAGCAGGCTCCCTGCCGAGCAGGGAGCCCGATGCGGGACTCGATCCCGGGACTCCAGGATCATGACCTGAGCCGAAGGCAGTCGCTTAACCAACTGAGCCACCCAGGCACCCCAATAGATTCACTTTTTGCTGATGCTAGGGAGTTGAGTTTCTGCCGATCTCTAAGCCACTTAGAAAGCCATTTAAAGTAAGCATTCCTATTTTCTGCTTTCCTTTACGGAAGACCTGACCCATTCACAAACTGGTAAAGATGATGAAGAGAGCATGTCAGCTTAACCCACTTTAAATGCCTAATGATCCACAAAGGAGCAAATAAGCTTCTAGAAAAACAAATTTGCTCTTTGTGCCAATTATTAATCATAAACTGAAGCCCATAACTATCTACCAATATTGGCAAAGTTAAATTATCATACATCCGTGATTTGGGCAATAAGGAAGCAGGCCCCCCTGTAAGGACATATTACACCATGATTATTTCCAGAGCACACAATTAGGTGCCCAGCTTTGCAGCCACAGGGGCAAAGACAATCAGCAACTTCATGGATCACCCTATCTCATTCATCCAAGCTGAGAAATCTAGGCCCTATTTCTCCACCAAGTTAAAAACAAAGTGGGGGGGAGCTGCAAAGGAAACCCCACAAGTCGTAATCCTGGCCTGGATGGCAAGCTCCAAATGCGAAGATATACTTACTGCAAACTGTGTTTTGTAGCAGGGCCTGTCAATCTTACTAACACTTTATTAATAAACTAAATGAATTTCCATTTCTCTTCCTCAGGAAGAGAACTACAGAAGCTGGATTTCCAAACCTGGTATGCGCCCGGCTATGCTTCCATTTCGGGTGAGGTAACTGAGATGCTTCGGGTAAGGGGTCAGGGGTAGCACAACAGCACAAACTGCCTGAGAAATTTGAAGGAAAACCATATTCTCGCGTCCTGACACTCGGTACTGGGTCTCTTTCCTTTTCCTTCATTTAATGTTTTCTGTCTTCTAAGAAGCCGAGGATTTGTTGAGCCCCTTGCCTTGACATGGATTCTGTTATTACAAGAAACGTTTTGAAAACCCAATAATGGAAGCTCCTCTTTTGCTTCTTCACCTGCGTGATCTCTCTACAGGCATTCCGGGGCGCCTCGGCAGAGAGCAAGAGGCATAGGGTTTTTGTTTTTTTATTTTTATTCTTATGTTAATCCCCATACATTACATCATTAGTTTTAGATGAAGTGTTCCATGATTCATTGTTTGTGCATAACACCCAGTGCTCCATGCAGAATGTGCCCTCCTCAATACCCACCACCAGGCAAACCCATCCTCCCACCCCCCTCCCCTCTAGAACCCTCAGTTTGTTTTTCAGAGTCCATCGTCTCTCATGGTTTGTCTACCCCTCTGATTTCCCCCGCTTCATTCTTCCCCTCCCGCTACCTTCTTCTTCTTCTTTTTTACAACAGGAATGGCATGAGGAAGGACTCAGTGTTCAGTCTCTGACATCCAATTATGTGATTTGGGATGGACACAGTAGATTTGGAAAGCCAGGCTTTGTGAGGACAAAAGGATTTGCTAAATGCCTTTATGTTCCTTTTCAACAAAAATGAAGCAGGTCAGGTGAACTCAGAAGCTTAATTTCTTGAAAACCATAGGAGGATGTGGCTGATTTTCCCCTACAACACAAGACTGGCAGTGTGAGGTGAGAGGAGCAGAGGAAGTGAAAATCCCGCAGGCCACCCGAAGCCTGGGCCCCGGGGGAGGGCTCTGTAACTTCTTACCCACCTGAACGGGAGCACTCAGGGGTGAGGGCACAATCCGAGGGCTTTCCCGTCCTGGTGCCATTAGCATTCTGGGCTGAATTTCACCTCACTGAAGTATGAATCCAGGAAGTCAGAAGAATCCAAAACAGATCATCCACCCACAATCTCACTCTTCAGCTCCAAACTCCAAATTTGGAAAACGGACGGAATTCGTTCCCACTTTGTTTACATCCTGTGTGTCTGTTCCGGGCTGATTTTGCTGCAGCTGTGACCCAACTCGGCGCTATTATATTCTGAAGATATAAACTTGGTCCTTCTCCAGGGCCACATCTGTGACATTGAAAATGAGGTCAGAAGGTCACTGAGTTGTTTCTCAGCATCAAAAGTGTGTCAAGCCTGGACCAAACTAGCCCCGAGGTCTACCCACCCCCCCCTCCAGCAGGAGAGACCCCAAGGGCATCAAGCAGCCTGAATACCCCCAGCTCCCTCCAGGCATGAGCTCACCTCTCTATGCACAAAAAAACACCAGTAACATCAATCCTTTAGGATGGGGAGAAGCGGGGGCTCATAATAATAGGATCATAGGATCAGGAAAATGGGTCACATCAACTTAAAATAAATGGTAGGGCCAGTGTCATTCCTTCAAAAAATGTTTGGTGAGCAAATATTTGTCATGTACCAGATGCCAGGATAAAAGATGTACAAGGCCAGGCTACTAACTAAGCACTCCAACTCATCGCCAGGCAGAGCCGCCAAAGGCCTGCCCAGGCTGTGCCCTGCACACCTCCAGGAGGCGCCATTCACACCAGCTACCATGCGAATGGTGCCCCTGGGAGTTTACATTACCAGAGGCATTCATCTTCCTGCTGAGGACAAAGCTATAAAAAAATAATCACGTATGACAAGCGTAGAAATAAAGGTATGTGCGAGGGCTCGTGGGAACCTGCTCAAGTAATGAAATGGCTCAATCCATCCTGCTCGACATCCACCACGCGCCCCAAGTTAAGGAACAGCAGACCCAGGGTTGGGATGGGCAAAGACCTCCCTGCATGGTACATTCCTGTGCATCTAGGAAGAGCTTTTAGAAAGCAATTCAGACCAGAGGAAAGGAAGATTTTGTACCTTCTAGATCCACTCCCAAAGCACAGATCCTGGGCAGTAGTGATGTGTGGGGCTGACTTTAGATGCTCCATAGCCCACAGAGCAGGTGACTCAAGAATCCGAAACACTGATTCCTCCTTTTGCCTTTTCTTCCCAGGATTCTGCCACTGATCGGCTGGTGTTAAAGAGTAAAACCAACAGGTGGTTAAATGTTTTTTTAAATTTAATCCCTTTGGTGATTTCTCCCCATTTTCTAGAAGGGAAACCTGAGTGCCAAGTTCATCAGAGCCTTTTGAGTCTCTCTACTGCTGGGGCCGTGGGGAGTAGGCTGAGGACATCAGATAATGTCAGATGCCTTAGCTGACTCAGGGGACACACAAAAGAATCCCACTTCAACCACCCACGGGGGCAACGTAGCTAAAACAAGCACCCTCTGAGACAAGGTAATATTTAGAGTCACAAGTCACAAGTGAGAATATTTTCTTTCCTGATTTATATTATAATTCTTTGCTTTACACATCAAAGTAAATAGATTACACAGAAAAACAAAGAAGCAAAGTAACCCTAACGGAAATCAGGCAAGAGATGAAAACCTGCTCCAAAAAAGACTAGTTTTATGTGTTTGTTAAATAATAATTAAATCATAATCTTAAATATTACAAGATCAAAATAATAATAGCTACCATTTCTCAAGCCCTCATCATCACATAAGGAAATTGAGACTCAGAGAAGGGAGGTCACTTACTACTTACAGTAGTAAGTATTGTGACTAACATCCAAATCCAGGTTTTCCTGACCCCAGAGCTTGTTTTCCTCATCACTATGAATAATCAATATTGACAAAATAAAATTAAAACTTGTGATGAATAAATATTGATGAAATAAAACAAGAGTGCGCCATAAATCTATTATCCTTAACATTTCAGATTGCCCCATTTCCTAAAGTGTGTAGACTCTTTGCCTTTTTTTCTTTTTCATCATTCTGCTTGGGGAACGCTGTTGGTGATTAGGGTTGTGGAGAGACACGAGGGGCCCCTGCAAAGATGCCCCTGGCACCTGCTACAGTGTTTTTTCTCACCTACTTCCTAGGGAACCTCCATGGTCTACAGCTATACCCAGGAAAGGAGGGGACATGTCTTCTTTCCAGAATAGTCTTATTATGTCTTTCAACATTCCTACATCCTGAGCGCAGGAAGCTTCAAAAGCCTGGACTACAACTAACTAGAAAGACCATCAGGGCAAGAGTAAAGGGGGAGAGACAATGAGTGTGCACGGCTCTAGAAAGTGAGCACCTGGATCACATGAAGGATCAAACCTGAGGATAGCAGACTTGCATTTCCAAAGCCACCCACTTCCTGTGACCGCCTAAACTTCTTTGCACCTTGGTTCTTTTTAAGAGCTAGAGCTTGGGCGCCTGGGTGGCTCAGTCGGTTAAGCGACTGCCTTTGGCTCAGGTCATGATCCTGGAGTCACAGGATCGAGTCCCGCATCAGGCTCCCTGCTCAGCAAGGAACCTGCTTCTCCCTCTGACCCTCCCCCCTCTCATGTACTCGCTCTCTCTCATTCTCTCTCTCTCAAATAAATAAATAAAATCTTTAAAAAAAAAAAAAAGAGCTAGAGCTTGTGCTAAAACCCTCATGTCCTGGTTTCCTCACAATCAGAGAGAAGATTGGGGAAAATTTATTTCAACAGGGTCACGGGCGCTTGGTTTGGCACCTTACATGTACTATTTCATTTAACCCTTACAACCCTATAGGAGATAGATGTGTTTATTCCTCACATGAGGACACGGAGGCCCAGTGAGGTTTCATAGCTGCCCCAAATCACACAGGTAGCAAGTGGGGCTTATAACTCACACTCTCTTTTTTTTTTTTTTTTAAGATTTTATTTATTTATTTGAGAGAGAGAATGAGATAGAGAGAGCATGAGAGGGAAGAGGGTCAGAGGGAGAAGCAGACTCCCTGCCGAGCAGGGAGCCTGATGCGGGACTCGATCCCGGGACTCCAGGATCATGACCTGAGCTGAAGGCAGTCGCTTAACCAACTGAGCCACCCAGGCGCCCAAAATATTATTCTTAAAAATATTTTTTTTAAAGATTTTATTTATTTATTTGACAGAGAGAGACACAGCGAGAGAGGGAACACAAGCAGGGGAAGTGGGAGAAGGAGAAGCAGGCTTCCCGCGGAGCAGGGAGCCCGATGCAGGGCTCGATCCCAGGACCCTGGGATCATGACCTGAGCCAAAGGCAGACGCTTAACGACTGAGCCACCCAGGCGCCCAACTCACACTCTCTTATTAAAGTCTTTGAAATTCGTGCTTGAAGGCACTTAGAGCTGAACTTTCACAATAGCAACCTAGAACAATAGGCTATATTTCTGAAATCATCTAACCCATCACTATCCAGTTGAACACAGTATGAGCCACCGTGATTCACTCTGTAAACCCCAACCCCTGAGTGCCCCCAAGCCAGGTCCCATGTAGCCCTGTTGGTAAAGAAAGTCAGAAGTACGAATATAGGGTTGTTTTTTTTTAATATATGACTTAATGACTTCAAAGTTAGTCATTTTATCACTATGTTCAGGGGCAATTTAATATTACATGTCAAGAATTTTTTAAGCATACTTCCATCTTTCAACAGGAAGAATATAGTAAATGTCTCCTATTAACATTACTATATGGATAGAAGAATGTGATGCTAATAAGTTGGGCAATTTACCTAAGATTATATAAGAATTCAGAGCAGACTTCAGGTTGGCACACTCTCTATTTCTTCTCTGGGTCTCTCTCTCTAAGTCATAGCATTTCTTTTATACTACTTGTATTTTTCAAACGAGGAATGAGGTCTGAATTTAAGGCAGAAGAGATTGATGTGTAATAGCCCAGTAATTGAGACTCTTATCAGCCCAACAAAAATCCAGGTAAAACTAGTGTATTTAATTCAAGATGCCATGCATATTAATAACAAAGTAATGCACAAATAATACCAAGAACAACAGACAGCGCTGTCTACAGAGACTAATTTTTCATGTTGATTTAAGAGGAGTCCTTAGCAAGTATGATACTCATCAGGAGCAATCTGGAGGTCTAGTCAGTCCTGAAATTGATTTATACCTCACCACATGTCTTAGATCTCTATTTTTCTAGGCAAAGGAAGAACTGCATTGTTCTTAGCTGATTGTAGCCATGGAATCCTAAGCCTTGAAACCTGGATGTAATGACCCTGAGAGAATCATCTTTCTCCAGGAAGCAGATATGCTGTGTGAGAGCTGGAATTGTCCTGCAGAATCAAGGAACCCATACAGTGAACCTCAGAGAAAATAAGGGAATGAGTAATAGGGGGAAATGAGGTGCCTCATAAAAATGCCTTGGAAATTCCTCCAGGAAAAATAAATGCAATTGTTTTCGTTCACATTTGGTTTGAAGATCAAGCTGTTCCTCTGCGGATATGCTACAAACAAAAATCTGCCTATGCGAAGCTTCCACATAGTGTCCTCATTTGCTCTCCTTCTGCCACAGGTTGGGCTTTCGGATATCCAAAGATAGCGATCTTGTCTCCTGCCCGAGACTTCTCCTTCTCCAAGTTAATCACCCTCTGTTCCTCAACTCCTCTCTATAGGATTGGTGCATGCATTCATCCAACGTGATTGAGTCCTATTATATACCTGGCCATATACACTAAGAACACAGAGATGAAGATGCTGCTGCCCCACCCATTCACTTCCTGCCTCAGGGCTTACTTCCAACAGGCAAAAAAATGCTGCAAAAAGTGTGCTGATTGGCAGTAAATTAAATTACAATTCCAGGTAAGTTGTGTTGAAACAATGTTTACCCTTTGCACACTTTTTTGACAACCTCCTATGCACAGAGCCTATGGTAGGCATTTCTAAGTCAGAGGATCCTTAGAAATAGAAGAGAGGAAAGCAGTTTTTGCCCTCAAGAACCAAAACCTTATCTTTAAGTCTATTGCTTGTGTTTTATGACGATAAAACTATTTTCATGGACATTAGTTATTTATATACACTATCCTCAAAGGAGCGGCGGCTGTGCATCTCTTTCCCTGGAAAGTCATAAACCTGGTCAGATCAAAGCAGTGAGTGTGTGTGCCTGCATATGTTCACATAGTGACAAGCATCATCTTTGTTTCCTTCTGTTACGGGGCTATTAGCTTTCAATACATCTCTAGTGCCAGAAAATCATTCGTTCATTCATTCATTCAATGAATACTTGAGTGCCTGTCCATGGCAGGTTTAGGTCTGGAAAAACCATGGTAAATACAAAAGAGCCAAATCCCTGCCCTTGTGGAGCTTATCAAAAGCTGTAATTCCATTTTTGTCGGAGAAAAAAGGATTTGCAAGATTCCAACCAGCTCAAGCATTATTTAAAAACAAACAAATAACTCTTCATAAGATTGATCCCCTGGAAAGACAAAAATGTTCACGTGTAGAAACTACCAGTCATTATATTGCAGAATCAGCCCATCGACGCTGTTAAAACAACTTGGAAAGACATGCAGAAATGTTCCAGCAACTTATTGGTTAGAAACTGCAGTTAACTCTCTCCTGCTTTCTTCTCTATCCTTCACTTTACCTTTATGTAAGGAGAGGGGAGACACATTCCTCCAGGAAATCATTTCAAAGAATCCCCTTCATTTGGCTCATTTCCAAGTAAACATTAGTTTCCAGATGAACTAATTAGTCTGATGGGAATTTAAATGTTTTCAAAACACTGATTAAAGGGGACTCGCCAGTTTAGGGGATTGAGCGGACCATGTTCTGCTCTCAGCTTCTAGGTAATAATTAACTGGAGGCCTTCCCCAAGCAATGGACACCCTCTGATGTCCTCCATTAAATGATCTCCTGATAGCAGTGAGTAGGAAAGTTTCCTTCCTGAGTCCTCCCTTGATGGCACTTACTCAAATCTTACTGAGAGTCACTTGCCCAGGCTCAAGGACAGAGAAGCTCATGTACCACCTGGAGATAACATCTAAAAAGGAGAACTGATTACAACCTCTTCCCCAATAACTTAAACTGCTTTTGGCAGTTTTCGAAAAGGTTGTCTATGACCACAAAACTCCACTCTGTCAACACCCACCTACATTACTCATGAAAGTAAGGACAGGCCAAATCTACTGAGAAAAAGGTATGTAATTCAATAAAGAAAATGAATAAAACTTAA